TGGTCTCTGTTCCTTTTTCGCTTTAATTTTCTTATTACTTATAGACCTGGTTCTAAAAATGTCAAGGCCGACGCCTTAACCAGACAGTTTGATACTGAGTCTATACAAGAGCAAGAAAAGTCCCATATCATTCCCCCGGAATGTATCATTGCTTCCACTATCCTTTCATTGTCCTCTCCGCTGCTTGGCTGCATCATGGAGGCTCAGGCGCCCTGCTGTAAACCTCAGGACAAATTGTTCGTTCCATTGAGGGAAAGGGTCAATATCATGAAGGTGTTTCACGACAATGTGTCTGCTGGTCACCCAGGTATTAATAAATCCACTTCTGCTATCATGAGGTCGTTCTGGTGGGATTCCCTCAGGAAGGATGTTAAGGAGTATGTGCAGGCTTGTTCTGTTTGTGCGGTTTCCAAAGTACCTCATAAAGTCCCTTGTGGCTTGTTACAACCTCTTCCCGTTCCTGAGGTCCCATGGTCCCACTTGTCTATGGATTTAATTGTAGAACTTCCTAGTTCTAATAGTTATACCAATATTCTCATGGTTGTTAACCGTTTTTCTAAAATGGCTCACTTCATCCCTCTCAAGAAATTACTGTCATCTCAAGACCTGGTACTGATCTTTATACGTGAGATTGTCCGTCTGCATGGCATTCCTCACAATATTGTATCTGATAGAGGTTCTCAGTTTGTATACTGGTTTTCGAGGGCTTTCAATAAGCAATTGGGGATTGAATTGTCTTTTTCATCCCAGACTAATGGTACAGCTGAGAGGGCTAACCAGTTTTTGGAGTATATACCTGCATTGTTTCGTTAATAGCACTCAAGACAATTGGTCCGAATTATTACCATGGGCCGAGTTTGCTTGGAACAATGCTGACCATGACTCCTCTGGGCATAGTCCATTTTTTGTTAATAATGGACGGCATCCTACTGTCCTACCGGCTGTTTTTTCTGATACAGCTATTCCGGCATTGGATGACCGACTGGCTTCCATCCGTGATACCTGGGTTAAAGTTTAATCTGCTCTGGGTACTGCTGCTGACCGTTTCAAGCATTATGCTGATACACGTCGAGGTGCAAACCCTGTTTACAAAGTGGGTGAGAGGGTTTGGTTATCTTCTCGTAACATCAGGCTCAAAGTCCCTAGCATGAAATGTGCTTCTAGGTTCCTTGGACCTTTTCGTGTGCTTCGTAGGATCAATCCTGTTGCGTACTCTCTGGCCCTTCCGTCCTCCTTGAAAATTCTAATACCTTTCATGTGTCCTTGCTCAAAACTCTTGTTTGCAATAAATATACTGTCTCAATTGTCCCTCCTCCTCCCTTAGTTGTATCTGGACAGGAAGAGTCTGAGGTCTCCTCCATAATTGATTCCAGATTTTCTCGGGGCACTTTACAGTACTTGGTGGATTGGAAAGGTCATGAACCAGCCGATCGTTCTTGGGTTCCGGCATCTGATATACATGCTGGCCGCAAGATTCGCTATTTTCACGCCAAATTTCCTCTTAAGCCTGGTCCTGCCCGCCTGGTGGGCATAATGTCACGTATTCATCCGCTTATAAAAATGTGGTTAGTGGCTGTGACAGAACCATCTGTCTGCCTATTGTGGTGGATTCGTCTATTCCTGCCCCCATTCGTGTAAATGGCTGTTTCTATAGCCCAGCCATACGAATGACTGTTTTCACCAAACAAATTCACCAAACGGATGGCCACCCAGAAGAAGAAGTGTGCTGCTGGTTAACCTCTTGATCCCAATTAGAACATTGTGGTTAACCGCAGACACTTCTCAATTAAGCCGAATTCAGGGTGGCCGTCGTTCGTATGTCGACCACGAGGCAGCGGCCATTTTAAAACGCACGAAAGCCCAGCGGTGTTTGGCACTGATTCCATGGAACTAAAAACTGACACTTTTTCTGCCGAACAATGCTGAAACAACGGGTCGCCTGGCTGCCTCGACGAAAGCGTACGAACACCGGCCGTTTGGGAGTTTTGAAACACACGAAAGGACTTAACCCAGATAGCCTTCCCATGGAGTCAATCGCATACCGAAAGACTGTAAGAACTTTGACTCCATGGCGATTGAACTATGTGTGTGGGATCTGTGCGCTATTCGCTAATAGTATGCACTCAGATCCAGGCTATCTGGGGATGTGTGATACGAATGGGAAATGTTCGGTTGTTTTAAAGTTAAATATTTTTGTGTATTTTTTGGTATTGCATTTAAGATGGCGATTTGTCTTTGTCCTGGAGATAATTGAATTACTTCTCAATTATCTCCAGGGCAGAGGGGAGGAAACCATATTGCATTGTGGGAAAAGCTTGTGATTGTATGTCTGAAATGTCCCCATGTCCGTCTGTAATTCCAGTCTCCCATTTGGTCCCCTAGGGGAGTGTCCACCAAGTGGGAGACCTGCATAAATACGGGCAGGTAGCCCACAGTAAAGCCAGATCCTGTTTGACCCTCAATGCTGAGCTTCTGTCTCATTATTGGGGGGATTTCTTCTTTGCACTTAGAGACTGCTGCTTGGAACCGAAAGCCGCTTGGTGGATATTGTTGTTTGGCGGCTAGCAGCAGTTCGTGGATTTCCGTTCGGGAGTTTGGAGCCTTTCATGGATCCCGGTCGGGAGATTGTCGCTTCCCCTGAGGTTGGTTCGTATACTGCAGTTTATGCGAACGGAGTTATTGGTATTGCAGAAGGGGAATGCGAACTAAACGGCGGTTTAGTTTAAAGACACCAGGGGTGTCTTAACAATTGGTGGCGAGAGACGGGATGAATCCCACAGCACAAAAGGTCAGCTACAAGAAATGCAGTATGAGGAATTAAGGCGTGCTACCCTTAAGGACATACTTGAACGCCGAGGACGGTCAGCAAGCAATTTGAAAAAGAGAGAAATTATTGCTTTGCTACTGGAGATGGATGCAACACAGGGAATGGAGAGAGCTAATGTGCCCAGCATTTTGGATTTAACCCCTGAGGAAATACAATTTAACCGGGCAGTGCAAATAATGCTGTCACACTTTGGCCCCAACCCCTCAGCAGACATTGTGGAACGTGTGCAGGCAGCAGTGATGGCACACCAGGCGCTCCGGGAAAGAGGAGCAGAGGTACCTAATAACAATTTTGGAAAGAAAAAGGTACCCTTTGCTGCATTTAAAATTTGTGAACGAGAAAACATTTGTTAGGGACTGGGGCAGCCAGGACAGGGGCATTACTCAATGCTTTCCCATGGACGTCCAGCATCTTCTCACTGTGAGAATCGCGGAAGCGCCTCTAGCGGCTGTCAGTGAGACAGCCACTAGAGGCTGGATTAACCTTCAGTGTAAACATAGCAGTTTCTCTGAAACCGCTATGTTTTCAGCTGCAGGGTTAAAACTAGAGGGACCTGGCACCCTGACCACATTGAGCTTAAGTGATCTGAGTGCCTATAAGTGGTCCTTTAAGTGTATGTGCATCTGCATGCACTGGCGTGCATACCGCTGCCGCAGGGGTCGCAGCTGTGCGACCCCTGTGACCAGGTGCTCACCGCCATGTGTTGCGGCCCCATGACGCGTAGAGAAAGCGCCCGGGGGAGGGAGGCCCCATGGATCGTATGTACGCCACTGAACTGACCCATACACACACACACAGACTGCTTCCCCACATACACAGACTGACCCATACACATACACAGACTGACCGCCCACACACAAACTGATCCAACGCGCACAGACTGACCCCTATACACAGGCTGACCCATACACACACACAGACTGACCTATACACACACTGGCTGACCCTCACACACACACACAGACTAACCCCCTCACACACACACACAGACTGACCCCCTCACACACACACACACACACAGACTGACCCCCTCACACACACACACGCAGACTGACCCACCCCACACACACAGACTGACCCACACGCATACACAGACCGATGCCCCCCATCACACAGACTGAACACCACCCTCCCCCCCCCCAAACACACATACAGAGACTGAACCACACACTGACTCTCACTTACCAGCAGCTGCCTGGATGCCTCTGTGCAGAGCTGAGCTTCCTCTCCATGTCTCTCCCCTGCGCTGCTCTCTGTTACCCAGGATGAAGTCCTCCCAGCACAGCGCCCCCTCTGGCCTCATGTGGGAATACAGCACAGCGCCCCCTCTGGCCTCATGTGGGAATATAGCACAATGCCCCCTCTGGCAACATGTAGGAATACAGCACAGCGCCCCCTCTGGCAGCATGTGGGAACACAGCACAGTGCCCCCTCTGGCAGCACTTGGGAGTACAGCACAGCGCCCCCTCTGCAGCATGTGGACATTCAGCACAGCGCCCCCTCTGGCAGCATGTGGGAATACAGCACAGCGCCCCTCTGGCAGCATGTGGGAATACAGCACAGCGCCCCTCTGGCAGCATGTGGGAACACAGCACAGTGCCCCCTCTGGCAGCACTTGGGAGTACAGCACAGCGCTCCTCTGCAGCATGTGGAAATTCAGCACAGCGCCCCCTCTGGCAGCATGTGGGAATACATCACAGCGCCCCTCTGGCAGCATGTGGAAATTCAGCACAGTGCCCCCTCTGGCAACATTATTATTATTATTATTTTTATTAGTTTATTATTTATATTGCGCCAGCAAATTCTGTAGCGCTGTACAATGGGTGGTCTAACAGACACGTAATTGTAATGAGACAAATGGATGCACAGGAACAGAGGGATTTGAGGGCCCTGATCAATGAGCTTACATAAGTGGGGTATAGTGACACAAAGGGTATAAGTAGAGGTAACGAAGTAGGCTGCTAGGATAGTATTCATTGAGGGCTTAGTGTTTTGTTTTGACGAATCAGCGTGCGGGGAGAGAAAGCTGTTCACAGTTTAATTGATATGCTTTCCTACAGAGAATGTACTATGTAATCAGCATTTTAGGAAAGCATAAATCTGGCGATCAACCATTACCAATCACTACGAACAGGCTGACATTACCCAGAATCCCTCACCTCTCCAGCCAGCAGGTAGATGATCTCCATACTGAGATTACCCAGAATCCCTCACCTCTCCAGTCAGCAGGTAGATGATCTCCATAATGACATTACCCAGAATCCCTCACCTCTCCAGTCAGCAGGTAGATGATCTCCATAATGACATTACCCAGAATCCCTCACCTCTCCAGCCAGCAGGTAGATGATCTCCAAACTGACATTACCCAGAATCCCTCACCTCTCCAGTCAGCAGGTAGATGATCTCCATACTGACATTACCCAGAATCCCTCACCTCTCCAGTCAGCAGGTAGATGATCTCCATACTGACATTACCCAGAATCCCTCACCTCTCCAGCCAGCAGGTAGATGATCTCCATCCTGACATTACCCAGAATCCCTCACCTCTCCAGCCAGCAGGTAGATGATCTCCATAATGACATTACCCAGAATCCCTCACCTCTCCAGCCAGCAGGTAGATGATCTCCATGCTGACATTACCCAGAATCCCTCACCTCTCCAGTCAGCAGGTAGATGATCTCCAAACTGACATTACCCAGAATCCCTCACCTCTCCAGTCAGCAGGTAGATGATCTCCATACTGACATTACCCAGAATCCCTCACCACTCCAGCCAGCAGGTAGATGATCTCCATAATGACATTACCCAGAATCCCTCACCTCTCCAGTCAGCAGGTAGATGATCTCCATAATGACATTACCCAGAATCCCTCACCTCTCCAGCCAGCAGGTAGATGATCTCCATAATGACATTACCCAGAATCCCTCACCTCTCCAGCCAGCAGGTAGATGATCTCCATAATGACATTACCCAGAATCCCTCACCTCCCCAGCCAGCAGGTAGATGATCTCCATAATGACATTACCCAGAATCCCTCACCTCCCCAGCCAGCAGGTAGATGATCTCCATAATGACATTACCCAGAATCCCTCACCTCCCCGGCCAGCAGGTAGATGATCTCCATACTGACATTACCCAGAATCCCTCACCTCCCCGGCCAGCAGGTAGATGATCTCCATACTGACATTACCCAGAATCCCTCACCTCTCCGGCCAGCAGGTAGATGATCTCCATACTGACATTACCCAGAATCCCTCACCTCTCCGGCCAGCAGGTAGATGATCTCCATGGTGACATTACCCAGAATCCCTCACCTATCCGGCCAGCAGGTAGATGATCTCCATGGTGACATTACCCAGAATCCCTCACCTCTCCGGCCAGCAGGTAGATGATCTCCATAATGAGATTACCCAGAATCCCTCACCTCTCCGGCCAGCAGGTAGATGATCTCCATACTGAGATTACCCAGAATCCCTCACCTCTCCAGCCAGCAGGTAGATGATCTCCATAATGACATTACCCAGAATCCCTCACCTCTCCAGGCCAGCAGGTAGATGATCTCCATACTGACATTACCCAGAATCCCTCACCTCTCCAGTCAGCAGGTAGATGATCTCCATGCTGACATTACCCAGAATCCCTCACCTCTCCAGTCAGCAGGTAGATGATCTCCATACTGACATTACCCAGAATCCCTCACCTCTCCAGTCAGCAGGTAGATGATCTCCATGACATTACCTAGAATCCCTCACCTCTCCAGCCAGCAGGTAGATGATCTCCATACTGACATTACCCAGAATCCTCACCTCTCCAGCCAGCAGGTAGCCGATCTCCATACTGACATTACCCAGAATCCTCACCTCTCCAGCCAGGCAGGTAGTGATGATCTCCATACTGACATTACCCAGAATCCTCACCTCTCCAGCCAGCAGGTAGATGACTTCCATACTGACATTACCCAGAATCCTCACCTCTCCAGCCAGTACAGGTAGATGAGGATCTCCATACTGACATTACCCAGAATCCTCACCTCCAGCCAGCAGGTAGATGATCTCCATACTGACATTACCCAGAATCCTCACCTCCAGCCAGCAGGTGGTAGATGACTTCCATAATGACATTACCCAGAATCCTCACCTCCCCAGCCAGCAGGTAGATGATCTCCATACTATTATTACCTAGAATCCTCACCTCCCCAGCCAGCAGGTAGATGATCTCCATACCATTATTACCCAGAATCCTCACCTCCCCCAGCCAGCAGGTAGATGATCTCCATAATGACATTACCCAGAATCCTCACCTCAGCCAGCAGGTAGATGATCTCCATACGACATTACTCCAGAATCCTCACCTCCCAGCCAGCAGGTAGATGATCTCCATACGACATTACCTAGAATCCTCACTTCCCAGCCAGCAGGTAGATGAGATCTCCATAATGACATACCTAGAATCCTCACCTCCCCATTAGCAGGTAGATGATCTCCATAATGACATTACCCAGAATCCCTCACCCCAGCCAGCAGGTAGATGATCTCCATAATGACATTACTCAGAATCCCTCACCTCCCAGCCAGCAGATGATCTCCATAATGACATTACCCAGAATCCCTCACCTCCCCAGCCAGCAGGTAGATGATCTCCATAATGACATTACCCAGAATCCCTCACCTCCCCAGCCAGCAGGTAGATGATCTCCATAATGACATTACCCAGAATCCCTCACCTCCCCAGCCAGCAGGTAGATGATCTCCATAATGACATTACCCAGAATCCCTCACCTCCCCAGCCAGCAGGTAGATGATCTCCATGGTGACATTACCCAGAATCCCTCACCTCTCCAGTCAGCAGGTAGATGATCTCCATACTGACATTACCCAGAATCCCTCACCTCTCCAGTCAGCAGGTAGATGATCTCCATACTGACATTACCCAGAATCCCTCACCTCTCCAGTCAGCAGGTAGATGATCTCCGTAATGACATTACCCAGAATCCCTCACCTCTCCAGTCAGCAGGTAGATGACCTCCATACTGACATTACCCAGAATCCCTCACCTCTCCAGCCAGCAGGTAGATGATCTCCATACTGACATTACCCAGAATCCCTCACCTCTCCAGCCAGCAGGTAGATGATCTCCATAATGACATTACCCAGAATCCCTCACCTCCCCAGCCAGCAGGTAGATGATCTCCATAATGACATTACCCAGAATCCCTCACCTCTCCAGTCAGCAGGTAGATGATCTCCATAATGACATTACCCACAATCCCTCACCTCCCCAGTCAGCAGGTAGATGATCTCCATAATGACATTACCCAGAATCCCTCACCTCCCCAGTCAGCAGGTAGATGATCTCCATAATGACATTACCCAGAATCCCTCACCTCCCCAGTCAGCAGGTAGATGATCTCCATACTGACATTACCCAGAATCCCTCACCTCTCCAGTCAGCAGGTAGATGATCTCCATACTGACATTACCCAGAATCCCTCACCTCTCCGGCCAGCAGGTAGATGATCTCCATACTGAGATTACCCAGAATCCCTCACCTCTCCGGCCAGCAGGTAGATGATCTCCATACTGAGATTACCCAGAATCCCTCACCTCTCCGGCCAGCAGGTAGATGATCTCCATAATGACATTACCCAGAATCCCTCACCTCTCCGGCCAGCAGGTAGATGATCTCCATAATGACATTACCCACAATCCCTCACCTCTCCAGTCAGCAGGTAGATGATCTCCATAATGACATTACCCACAATCCCTCACCTCCCCAGTCAGCAGGTAGATGATCTCCATAATGACATTACCCAGAATCCCTCACCTCCCCAGTCAGCAGGTAGATGATCTCCATAATGACATTACCCAGAATCCCTCACCTCTCCAGTCAGCAGGTAGATGATCTCCAGACTGACATTACCCAGAATCCCTCACCTCCCCAGCCAGCAGGTAGATGATCTCCATAATGACATTACCCAGAATCCCTCACCTCTCCAGTCAGCAGGTAGAAGATCTCCATACTGACATTACCCAGAATCCCTCACCTCTCCAGTCAGCAGGTAGATGATCTCCATAGTGACATTACCCAGAATCCCTCACCTCTCCAGTCAGCAGGTAGATGATCTCCATACTGACATTACCCAGAATCCCTCACCTCTCCAGCCAGCAGGTAGATGATCTCCATAATGACATTACCCAGAATCCCTCACCTCTCCAGCCAGCAAGTAGATGATCTCCATAATGACATTACCCAGAATCCCTCACCTCTCCAGTCAGCAGGTAGATGATCTCCATAATGACATTACCCACAATCCCTCACCTCCCCAGTCAGCAGGTAGATGATCTCCATAATGACATTACCCACAATCCCTCACCTCCCCAGTCAGCAGGTAGATGATCTCCAGACTGACATTACCCACAATCCCTCACCTCCCCAGGTGTAGTAATAGCTGTAGTATTTGTAGTACAGTGCCGGGTACAATGCAGGATCTCTGTCAATAGATGTATTTATTAGAAGTATTAACAGGCGTAGTAATAGCTGTAGTATTTGTAGTACAGTGCCGGGTACAATATAGTATCTCTGAAGTATTAACAGGTGTAGTAATATCTGTAGTATTTGTAGTACAGTGCCGGGTACAATGCAGGTTCTCTGTCCATAGATGTATTAACAGGTGTAGTAATATCTGTAGTATTTGTAGTACAGTGCCGGGTACAATGCAGGTTCTCTGTCCATAGATGTATTAACAGGTGTAGTAATAGCTGTAGTATTTGTAGTACAGTGCAGGGTACAATGCAGGATCTCTGTCCATAGAGGTATTTATTAGATCTATTAACAAGTGTAGTAATATCTGTAGTATTTGTTGTACAGT